GCAGCGAGGGAGGTGGGGACAGCGAGGGAGGCTGGGGAAGCGGGGGAGGCTGGGGCCATTGGGGGAAAAGGCTGGGGGAACGCGAGGGAGGCTGGCGACAGCGAGGGGGCTGGGGAAGGGGGGAAGGTGGGGACAGCGAGGGAGGCTGGCGACAGCGAGGGAGGCTGGCGACAGCGAGGGAGGCTGGCGACAGCGAGGGAGGCTGGCGACAGCGAGGGAGGCTGGGCGACGGGGGGGGGGCCCGAGGGGGGGCTGGCGACAGCGAGGGAGGCTGGGGGACAGGAGGGAGGCTGGCGACAGCGGGGGAAAGGTGGGGGACGCGGGGGAGGTGGGGGACGGCGAGGGAGGCTGGCGACAGGGAGGGAGGGGGCGACAGCGAGGGAGGGGGGGACAGCGAGGGGGGGGGGGGACAGCGAGGGAGGCGGGCGACAGGAGGGAGGCGGGGGGAACAGCAAAGGGAGGTGGCGCCGCGAGGGAGGCGGGGGACTTGGGGGGAAAGTGGCGACAGCGAGGGAGGTTGGCGACGGCGAGGGAGGCTGGGGACAGCGAGGGAGGCTGGGGAAAAGCGAGGGGAGGGGGGGACAGCGAGGAGGCGGGGGGGACAGCGAGGGAGGCTGGCGCCCGCGAGGGAGGCGGGGCGACAGCGGGGGAAAAGGGTGGCGACAGCGAGGGGGGCTGGCGCCAAGCAGGGGGGCTGGCAAACAGGAGGGAGGCTGGGGACAGCGAGGGAGGCTGGCGACAGCGAGGGAGGCTGGGGACAGCGAGGGAGGCTGGGGACAGCGAGGGAGGCTGGGGACAGCGAGGGAGGCTGGGGACAGCGAGGGAGGCAGGGGACAGCGAGGGGGGCTGGGGGAAGCGGGGAGGTGGGGCCGCGAGGGGCGGGCGCCCAGCGGGGGAGGCTGGGGGGACAGCGAGGGAGGCTGGGGACGCGGGGGAGGCGGGGGGAAGCGAGGGAGGCGGGGGGCAGCGAGGGAGGCTGGGGAAGCGGGGGGGAGGCAGGGGACAGCGAGGGAGGCGGGGGACAGCGAGGGGGGCAGGGGACAGCGAGGGAGGCGGCGAAAAGCGTGGGAGGGGGGGGGACAGCGGGGGGGCTGGCGACAGGTGGGGAGGCTGGGGGACGGGCGAGGGAGGCTGGGGACAGCGAGGGGGGCCCGGGGGAAACAGCGGGGCCGGGGGGGCGACAGCGGGGGAGGCTGGGACGGGCGAGGGAGGCTGGGGGCAGCGAGGGAGGCTGGCGCCCGCGAGGGGGCTGGGGGACGCGAGGGAGGGGGGGGGGCGACAGCGGGGGAGGCTGGCAAACAGCGAGGGAGGCTGGGGACAGCGACGGGGGGGGAGACAGCGAGGGAGGCTGGGGGGAACCCGGGGAGGTGGAGACAGCGAGGGGGTGGGGACAGCGGGGGGGAGGCTGGGGAACCCGAAGGGAGGCTGGGGACAGCGGGGGAGGCTGGCGAAAAGCGAGGGAGGCGGGGGAAACAGCGGGGGAAAGGGTGGGGGCAGGGAGGGGGGGCGGAGGGGGGGGGACGCGGGGGAGGTGGGGACAGCGGGGGGGCCTGGGGACAGGGGGGGGAGGCTGGCGACAGCGAGGGAGGGGCGACACCCGTGGGAGGCTGGCGACCGGGGGGGAGGTGGGGGACAGCGGGGGAGGCGGGGGACGCGAGGGAGGCGGGGGAAACAGCGGGGGAGGCTGGCGAAGCGAGGGGGTGGGGACAGCGAGGGGGTTTGGGGCACGGGGAGGCTGGGGACAGCGAGGGGGGGCGGGGGCCCAGCGAGGGGGGGCGGGGACAGCGGGGGAGGCTGGGGCCCGCGAGGGGGTGGGGACAGCGAGGGAGGGGGGCGACAGCGTGGGGGGGCTGGCGACGGGGGGGGGTTTGGCGACAGCGGGGGAGGCTGGCACAGCGGGGGAGGTGGGGAAGCGAGGGAGGCCTTGGCGACAGCGAGGGAGGTGGCGACAGCGAGGGAGGTGGGGGGGGCCAGGGGGGGCTGGGGAAACAGCGAGGGAGGCGGGGGGCAGCGAAAAAAAGGGGCCTGGGGACGCGAGGGGAGGGCTGGGGACAGGGGAGGGAGGCTGGGGCCCAGGAGGGAGGTTGGGGACAGCGGGGCGAGGGGGGGGGAAGCGAGGGGGGCGGGGGACAGCGAGGAAGGCTGGGAAGCGGGGGGGGCCGGGGAAAGCGAGGGAGGCTAAAAGAAAAACGAGGGAGGCGGGGACAGGAGGGGGGCCCTGGGGACAGCAAAGGGGGGGTGTGGGGGCAGCGGGGGGGAAAGGGGGAAAAAGCGGGGGGGGGTGGGGGGACAGCGGGGAGGCTGGCGACACCCGAGGGGGGGTGGGGACCCGTGGGAGGGGGACGCGAGGGGGCGGGGGGGAACAGCGGGGGGAGGCTGGGGCCCAGCGAGGGGGGGCTGGGGGACAGCGGGGAGGCTGGCGACGGGGCCGAGGGGGGGCGGCGACAGCGAGGGAGGCGGGGCGACAGCGGGGGGAAAGGTGGCGACAGCGAGGGGAGGCTGGGAAGCGAGGGGGGGCTGGCGACAGCGAGGGGGGGCTGGGGGACAGCGGGGGGGGCTGGCGACGGGCGAGGGAGGCTGGGGACAGCGGGGGAAAGGTTTTGGGGACAGCGGGGAGGCGGGGGAAACAGCGGGGGCGGGGGAAGAGGGAAGGCTGGGGACAGCGAGGGGAGGCGGGGACAGGGGGGAGGGGGGGGACAGCGAGGGAGGGGGGGGACACCCCGAGGGAGGCGGGGGACAGCCGAGGGGGCGGGGGGACAGCGAGGGGGCCCTGGGGACAGCGGGGAGGTGGGGAGGCGGGGGGGGCGGGGGCGCGAGGGGGCTGGGGGCCCGCGAGGAGGCTGGGGACAGCGAGGGGGGCTGGGGGGGACAGCGAGGGGGGGGGGGGGAAACGCGAGGGAGGCTGGGGACAGCGAGGGAGGCAGGGGGACAGCGGGGAGGGGGGGGGAAAAGGGGAGGGGGTGGGGGAAAGCGGGGGAGGCTGGCGACAGCGAGGGAGGTTTGGGGACAGCGAGGGAGGGGGCGACGGGCGAGGGAGGCTGCGACAGCGGGGGGAGGCGGGGGACGGCGGGGAGGCGGGGGAAGGGAGGGAGGCTGGGGACAGCGAGGGGGGGTGGGGGCAGCGAGGGAGGTGGCGCCCGGGGGGAAGGGGGAGGTGGCGCCGCGAGGGGGGGCGGGCCCGGACAGCGAGGGAGGCGGGCCCGACAGCAAAGGGAGGCTGGGGCAGGAGGGGAGGCTGGGGAAGCGGGGGGGCCCGGGGGCGGCGGGGGAAGGCGGGGGACAGCGAGGGGGGGCTGGCGACCGCGAGGGAGGTGGGGACAGCGAGGGAGGTGGCAAAGGCAAAGGGAGGTTGGGGACAGCGGGGGAGGGGGGGGACAGCGGGGGGAGGTTTGGGGACAGGAGGGGGGTGGGGACAGCGGAGGGAGGCTGGGGACAGCGGGGGGAGGTGGGCGCCCAAGGGGTGGGAGGCGGCGAAAAGCGGGGAGGCTGGGACAGCGAGGAAGCTAAGGATGAAAACTAGTTTTTCTTTGGAACTTTTAAGAAGCGTTTTTTATTGGTAGATTTTGTACGTGGGGGTTTCGGGGAGTACATGGTAGGTACACGCTGCTAGGATGGTATGTCACGTTGCTGGGAAATGGTATGTACCCCTAGGATGGTATGTACACGCTGCTAGGAGGGTTTATTTTACACGTGCTAGGTTGGTTTACCCCCCCTGCAGGAGGGTTTGTCGTGCTAGGTGGTATTTTCCGTTTGCTAGGTTTGGGTATGTACCCCTGCAGGAGGTTTTTTTACACGCTGCTAGGATGGAAATGTAAACGCTGCTAGGATGGTATGTCCCACGCTGTAGGAGGTATGTACACGCTGCTAGGAGGGTTTATGTACACGCTGCTAGGTGGTATTACACGTTTCAAAAGGGGGTATGTCACGCTGCTAGGATGGTATGTACCGCTGCTAGGATGGTTTTGGTTAAAACGCTGCTGGAGGGTATGTACTCCCCTGCTAGGATGGTATGCTCCGCTGCTAGGGGGTTATGTTCACGTGCTAAAAAATGGTATGTACCCCGCTGTAGGATGGTATGTACACGCTGCTAGGATGGTATGTACTCGCTGCTAGGATGGTATGTACACGCTGCTAGGATGGTATGTACACGCTGCTAGGATGGTATGTACACGCTGCTAGGATGGTATGTACACGCTGCTAGGATGGTATGTACTCGCTGCTAGGATGGTATGTACACGCTGCTAGGATGGTATGTACACGCTGCTAGGATGGTATGTACTCGCTGCTAGGATGGTATGTACACGCTGCTAGGATTGGTATGTACACGCTGCTAGGATGGTATGTACACGCTGCTAGGATGGTATGTACACGATGCTAGGATGGTATGTACACGCTGCTAGGATATGTACACGCTGCTAGGATGGTATGTACACGCTGCTAGGATGGTATGTACACGCTGCTAGGATGGTTTTGTACACGCTGCTAGGATTGGTATGTACACGCTGCTAGGATGGTATGTACACGCTGCTAGGATGGTATGTACACGCTGCTAGGATGGTATGTACACGCTGCTAGGATGGTATGTACACGCTGCTAGGATGGTATGTACACGCTGCTAGGATGGTATGTACACGCTGCTAGGATGGTATGTACACGCTGCTAGGATGGTATGTACACGCTGCTAGGATGGTATGTACACGCTGCTAGGATGGTATGTACACGCTGCTAGGATGGTATGTACACGCTGCTAGGATGGTATGTACACGCTGCTAGGATGGTATGTACACGCTGCTAGGATGGCATGTACACGCTGCTAGAACAACCCAGGTAACAAGTGTATGCAAACTTGCCCAACAATTTTCTCTCAATGGCAGATGTAAGTTCGTTATAGAGATTCTTGTCTATATACAGAGGTAATCCTTGTCTTACACTAGAATTCTTGTCTATGTACAGGTAGTTTTTAAATGAGTAATCTTTACAGCAATTTTTTTTCTCCTCAGAGAATGGGGGAAGCAAACAGCTTGGAGTACTCGACCCTGCACGAGGACGACGTGGATGAGGTTGTAGCCTTCATGGCTGCCCACTTCTACCCCAGAGAACCCATAGTAGGTCTATAATTTTCCAGTCTCCGCTGTAGATTGTCAATAAGTTATGAATGTTGACAAGTCTACGCCCTTAATGCATATTATCTCATAAGTTTTCTATTTCGTCTACGTATTAGAAGTCATCATAAGGAGATATTTTCTTCCTCGTTAAAGAAAATAAATTAAACATGGGTTTCCTCCTCAGATAAAACGAATCTATTTCTTCAGACAAAATCAACAAGACATCACTAACGAGAAGCTAGTTTCCTCATTAGACAAAATCTGGAACAAGATAACAGCAGGACATTAAGCAAGCACAATCACTAAGACGATGACTGACATAACTCAACACTTCTCTGATCTCGAGAACTGAAAAAATACCATTTCATACTTGACAACTTACTATTATATTCTGGCTACACAATAATTATCTTAACTCAAGAAGAACCATTAACTGAGAACAACTAACCGTCATACCAAACATTATCGTTATAATCAATTCCTGAATAAAAGAATTAAATTTGAACACTGGACAACATGTGAGAGCCAAATATGTCACATACTTCACTAAACACATGCATACATCCAGTGATAAGAAATGCGACTGAAAAACAAGGAAGGTTACATCTCCAGTGAAGAATAACATTTCTCAGTACTTACCAATCTATTTAGTAAATCTAAAAAACTCAACTGCTAGAAAAAAAATTATGGAAAAAATGAAAGAAGGAACGAATATAGCAAGAAAGATAGCAAATTATGCACACCGAAGAAAATGAACCTTCCATTTCAGCTGCTGAAGATGTAAATAAACTCAAGAGCTTGTCAACTAAACTTAAGTCAACATTATTTTAGACCCATTAACCCACCTCATCCTTTATATTACAGCTCCAACCATTCTTTTTCAGGAAAACTTTATATAATATTGCTCAGAAATAATAATAAAAAATCTAACTGATAATTTGTCAGTCATATTCAATAGATGCAAATGGGCTGAAATCAGCTGAGGAAATGCAATTTAATTATCTCTGAATTCAAAGTTTTCCAAGACACTGAAAGAAGTGAAGGTTACACTAACCCACTGAAGTGGAACAATCATTACAGGCAACTCTCTTATCTAGCAATATTATTAAATTACTGATGTGTAGTGGAGGGAGGCGAGTGCATGGTCATGCAATAAGCAGCAAGAAGGTTTCTTTGAGAGGGAAGACAAAAGTGGCTCCTCATGAACCAGCCTCAAGGACTGGACCAGTGATGACACCAACAGTGTCCTCACTGACATAACCAGCAGTGTCATCACTGACATAACCAGCAGTGTCATCACTGACACAACCAGCAGTGTCATCACTGACACAACCAGCAGTGTCATCACTGACACAACCAGCAGTGTCATCACTGACACAACCAGCAGTGTCATCACTGACACAACCAGCAGTGTCATCACTGACACAACCAGCAGTGCTGTCACTGACACAACCAGCAGTGCTGTCACTGACACAACCAGCAGTGCTGTCACTGACACAACCAGCAGTGTCATCACTGACAACCAACAGTGTCATCACTGACACAACCAGCAGTGCCAACACTGACACAACCAGCAGTGTTGTTGAGAAATGGTTTACCAGCTAAGGTTAAAGATTAAATATAGGGAGTACTTAGCTAATAAGACAGCTATCATCCACACAGCTGCCCCTGCAGACGAGGTCTTGAGAAGCTGTCTCATCCACTTCTTAATGGGCTGAAATAATTATATTAGGTATGATTATAAATTACCCCTAGGGGGTGTTATGTCAGCATATAAAAGGCACTTATGGCTGACAACACTTACTTGTGTGGACTCAAAGGTCCACTTATCACCGGGGTTTATGATAAGTGACTAACTCGTAACTTATACTCAACTGCGCAGTCAATAGTAGTACATCACGAGTTAGAACACTTACCTGGGTATATGTATCTGATCCGTAGTTACACCCGGATATCCAATGTGTTGATTGAAGAATAGTGTTCTTTGAAGAATGTCGCACTACACTCTGTTGGAGTGCAACACTCATTACGCTGTTCATCAATAATTGTTCATACCATAATGTCACTAAAGAAGTTGATCACACTTCTCTGTAAGTGTTTATTGAGATTCTTTTGTGCAAAATGTGCAGAACATTGTTCATTGTTGGTTGTCCCTGCACGTCAATGTCTCTCTCAGTAGAGTCAAAAGTAATCTGACCTCACAGCGTCCTACGCCACTGCAATGCCCCTCGAACATAAAGGAAAAGCTGACCTAGTACTTTTTGCTTCCTTGCCACTTCCTCCATGAAGCAATGCAGAATGTTTGATTCTTTCTGTCTTGAGCATAGACAACAATGTACACTATCTTTACCATGGTAATAAAGTGGGAGCAGGATTTTCCTTAATTGTCCTGCTAAGATAAGAGATGGACGGTCTCTTATTAAACTACACTTTGCAACACTGGACTCTTGCAAGGAGCGGCGGTCGCTTGACCACGTCACATACTTGTACTGCATCTGGGATCAATTACTTGCTGTAGCAGTAAACAAGATGTTTGCCTCTTCTGAGAGGGCTGGGCCCTTCAGGGCTGAAAGGAGCTGAAAGGGGATGATACCCCCCTCCTGGAGGAAATTTCTCCATACTGGGGGCGGTGGAGGTTTGCTTCAGGTGAACTATTCATCACTTAACATTAATTTGATTTTCTCACTCACCACCACTGCTGCTTGTCTTTTCTGAACAGCTTTAGTCTGTGTGGTTTCTGGAGAATCACTAATTTTATTTTCAACACTGTAATTCTAACGGCACTAGTTTATTGTCCGCTTATTCACTACACCTTTGCTCAAAACATGAACTGTCCTGATGATTCCCTTTGCATCAGGGTATATGGTCACAATTTTTCCTAGTGGCCATTGGGACCTTGGACCATCATTGTCAATAATCACTATGTCACCAGGTCTTAAGGACTTATGATTTTCAGGAACACCAGCTCCATAGAAGTGTTCTCTCAATGAGGTGAGATAGTCTTCTCGCCAAATTTTCTCCCAACGTTCAATCACTTTATTAAGGTGTTTTAATTTACGTCTGAGTTGCTCAGGTTCGAAATAAGTAGGATCCTCTATGATTTCTTTATCATTCATGGGAGGAACAGGTTCGAGCCTTCTGCCATGGAGTAAATGAGATGGACTTAGCACTTCTAAATTGTCCAGATCATCGGTAACATAAGTTAGAGGTCTGTTGTTGACTCTATTTTCTATTTCAGTCACAACTGTACGGAATTCTTCCAAGTCGATTCTCTGACGATGAAGAGTCTTCCTTAAACAACGTTTTACAATGCCGATCATTCTTTCATAAAATCCGCCGTGCCATGGAGATTTAGGAGGAATGTATCTCCAACGACAACTGCGTTGATTCAGCATCTGTTGTACTGCTGGTTGATCAAAGATCTTACTTATATAAGTAGCACCAACAACAAAGTTCGTTGCATTGCCTGAAATCATCAGTCTGGGACATGCTCTTCTGGCTGCAAACTTTCTGAATAATTTGATAAAGGTTTCAGCAGACATGTCAGTGGCTACTTCTCGATGTACTGCTCTAGTCGCAGCACAAGTGAACAAACAGATGTACACCATGATGGGAACTTTGTCAACTGTTTTGGTTAAAATTATTGGTCCAGTGTAATCTACACCTGTCACCTCAAATGGAGTGATATGACAAACTCTTTTTCAGAGGGATATGGAGGTGGACCTGGATACTGACATACTCGCATATCATAGTGACGACAAGTAATACAGTCCTTTATTTATTTTTTCACACTTTGTCGACCTTGAGGTATCCAGTAGGATTGTCGAATATGACAAAGTGTGTCAGCTACCCCACCATGTAACACGTTACCGTGGGCGTTTTGCACAATCAGTTTTGTTAGCCAATGATTCTTGGGGATCAATATTGGATGTATGGCTTCTTTAGGTAGTGAAGAATTATGAATTCTTCCTCGACATCTTATAATCTTTTCTGAGTCGAGATAAAATCCCAAAGAATTAATCATGACAAGTTTCTTTGGGGATTTATCTTGTGCTTCCAGAAATTTATATTCTGTAGAGAAAGCATCTTTCTGTATTAGTTTCACCCAGTATTTAATGGGTTCAAGATATTCATAATCAGGTTTTATTCCTTTAATGAATTTAAAGACAAGAGCTGTAACTCTTAAGAGTTTACCCAAAGATGAGTATTTAGATCCATCAATGACTATTTCTGTTGTGTTTGTAGTATTTACACAAATTATTTCTACTGTGTTCAAGCAGGCTGTTTCTTCTGGCATAATGTGAGCTTTTTGCCGAGGCCAGTTATTTTCATTAGAGAGCCAGTTCGGTCCGTGGAGCCATAATTTATCCACAAATTTCTTGAGTGGGACACCACGTGACAACATGTCAGCTGGATTCTCTTGGGTAGAGACGTGGAGAAAGAGATAATCTCTCTGCATCTCTTTTATTTCTGCTACTCTGTTCTGTACATAGACCAACTTACTCTTATTATTTCTTAACCACTGGAGAACTGCCTCATTATCACTCCAGATCACGGTTTTCTCAATAGTGAGATGATCAAGTACTTTGTTGAGATAGACAGCTAATTTTGTACCTACATAGAGTGCTGTCAGTTCCAATTGTGGTACTGTTCTGACCTTCAAGGGTGCTACCCTGGCCTTTGAAGTAATTAGTGTACTTCCTTCAGCATTACTCATGTAAGCTACAGCGCCATAACCTCTGGTTGACGCATCACAGAACACATGTAATGTGTAATTGTTTCCCTCTTGACCTATTTGTCTGGAAATTTAATTTGATGAAGTTGTTTAAACTCCTTGGATATTTCATCCCATGCTTGACTCATTTCTAGAGGCAAGTTCTCATCCCATCCAATTTCGAGCTTCCATGCATCTTGCATAAGCATTTTACCCTTTATGGTAATTGGTGAGACGAGTCCTAGAGGATCAAAACATTGTGATACCTCTGACAGTAAACTACGTT